TAAGTAGGAATACGGGAGAGTGATTGAAAGTGCCCAAAAGTTGCGGACATATTTCGACCTCTACTTCCCCACTTGACGTCATGACCCTGCAATATTCTGCTTACTTGCAGCCGAAGCTTCCACGGTTATTTCCGGGAAGGCTTCGGCTGCAAGTAGATAAAATAAATGGGGCCTATTTTAACTGCACTTTACGTCAGAACCCTTTCTTACTCCATTTTTCGGCTTTGTCTGTTCTTCTCATTTTGTCGGATATTTTTATTTGCAATGATCCAGCGTTCAGTAGGCTGTCCACAACAAGTAGTGGACCTTTTGGCGCTTTCATTCCATGCCGAGCACCTTTAGGGTCTCATCGATAGTCCGGAAAGGACTTAATTGGAAGTTTCGCTTCTTATGGGATTCCGGAATGCTAGAATGGCATTTTCGAGTAGGAGATGCTAAGGTTTCGCAAGTGACCTAAGAAAACTTCCGATATAACTCCGAGGAAGCTCTACTGGATTGTCTGAAAATGGGTTTTTGCCTCATGAGCGTTGCTATTCAGTTTGGGCGAGTAATTAGCAAAGGCATTAATTTATTGCAAAAACCTTCCACTTTATGAATGCTATACGACAAGGAAATTGCAAAGATTATGGGAACGTAGGAAGAAAGTAACACAAGGGCAAGATAGACGGAATTTTTGTTTTACGACTTCCATTTTATGGTTTATCGAGATAGTATTGTCGTGCTGGGACAGCATTCGAGATTTAACAAGATTGGCAGGCAATGTGTGGTAGTAGTAACTAGCCTGCAGTAAGTTCTCCTCGTTGCTCTGCAGTAAGTTCACCTCGTTGCTCCGTGAACTAGGCAATGGCCTTAGCATAGTCGGTGTGAGAGAATGCCACCTTCTCGATCATGTGTATTAGATCTAGCTCCTTGCCGACTTCGCATTGTATCGGACTGATTGGAGGGGAAACAGCATCGGTACTTGAGGAGCAGGTCGCAGTAACACCCGAACAAAAGCCAATCGAACAACGGAAATATAAAATACCCAATGGTTTCTGAACGATAAAGGCTGATCGACCATATAACACGAAGTTGCGTGTAGCCCACAAGTTCATGTATATCTAATTGGATGCCTCACAGTCGTGTGGATTAACCAGAGAAGAACTTGTTAATTGTGGTAACCGCCAGCCCGGCGGATTAACAACATTAGATTTGGTTCCCACGAGATAGTTGCCGCGCATGAATTGATTTGATACGAATACGTGGACAACCCTTAATCTTATAATTGAACTTTGTTCGCTCAAAATAAAACGGATACGAGATTTCTTAGATTAAGAAAAATAAGGTAAGTAGATGAAAGGGATAACTGCAGACGATAATACAGATCATAATGAGAAAGATTAAAATAGTGTTCTTGTTAGCCGAGTGACTTTTTTTAGTTATGGAAACACGACTTGGATCTTGCCCTACAGCATCCTTACCACGCTTCTTATTTTACGATGACCCTACATCAGCCCGCTCTCATGCAAATGGATATAATATTATGGTTAACTTATCTGAAGCGTTCTTGACGTTTGATGAAGCATTTCAAAAATTGGACGCTGGGGTTAAGGAATTTGGAATTGCACTGAAAATTTTTCGTTATTTGATCTTATCGCAAAAAAAAGGTTTCTGTTAATATCTCTTTATTAATTCACGCTCAGTCCAATCTTTGC